AGCTTGAAGTTGGAATTGACAAGGGCGAGTTTGTCTACACCAGTTGAAGGCTGACAGAACCCATCACGGTGCTCCACCTGGTTACATTTCTGGCAGTAATGTTGCCGAAATCTGCAGTCCTGCAGTCCTGGTACTTGTTATTAGCATGAACGGTGAGTTAGCCGACTGGTACACAAGGTCCGTAAGAGAGAAGCAAGAGAAAACGAGCACACGAGACTGTGTATGCACAAAAAGCACGTTAGAGCAAGTCATTTTCAAACAAAGGCTGCATGCATTTAAGGGGCCGTGTGCGAGACATAGTCCGAGACAATAGGCCAATCAGAATTAAGCAGACAAGACTGGTCGCAGTGAGGTAAGTCGCGACGTCTTTGTGTGTGTTGTCTCATCATGGGAATAGCGGCATTCCCAACACCCCCTTAAAGTATGTCAATACCGCTTATGGCCTCGATTGACCTGTATACGTTGCGTTCTTCGGCAAACACGGTTGGTCCGGCGTGTTGGGGGCGGTTTCCGGTTTACAGGTGCGGGTCCAGGAACTGATTCCGAAAGTGATACATCCGAAGGCGCAGCAGCATTCGGTTCGGGAACTGACTGGTCTGCTGGGATGGCAAAGGTATCCAGCAAGATATCAAGACGGAGTGAAGCGCCTGATTCAGGTCCGGTTAGAGTACTGCATTGCCGCCGTCGAATCTGATTGGGGCAACGAACCCAGGTGTCATCAACCACGCGGACGTCGTACAGCATGCTGCCTCTGTGCGCTGCTACTGTCGCTTCAATCCAGTCCGGAAACCCAGCTCGGTCGTCACGAACGAAGACAGGTGTTCCGATGGAGAGCTTTCCGCGAGATACAGGTGGAAGTGACCGTGATGACGGCAGATTAGTAGGCAACAGTGCATGGAACTTCGTTCGAAGTTTCCGGCTCAGTAAGGCTACGGCAGGGGAAACACCACCAGGAGACACCGTATTAGGGTTGGGACTGTAGGAAAACAGGAATGCCTGTAATATCTTGTGCGTAGTCCCCTCTCCACGAGCTTTCAAAAGGGCTCGTTTGAATTTGTCAACGAAACGTTCCGCCTGACGGTTCGATTGGAGATGTTAGCGCGGCGAACGAAGGTGTTGGATGTGGTGTTGGCGGCAGAAATCCGCATAGGTCGACGAGGTCAATTGCGAGCCATTGTCCGACACCAGAACATCCGGTA